ATATGCGGTATTGGTGACTTGTGGATACGATGTTGCTATGTAAGCATGTCTTTGTGTCTCTGTGTCCAGGCTTGTGTTTATCCTGGACACTGTGTCTATATTTATGAACAAGTTTCTAGATGTTTCTGAGAATGCTTGTGTGTATCTGTGTCTGGGTGACTGTGACTCCCTGTGTCTCTGGCTTCCTCGGCAGGGCTGGGGGGGGTTTTTTGGTTGGATGTTTGTATGTGCTTATGTTTGCTCTGTGTGTTTTGGTCTACTTGTGAAGCTCTTTCATTGTGTCTTGGGGACGTGTGTGCGCATGTGTGCCTGCATGTGTACATACACATTTTAACTCCCTGCAGCTGTGCCTGCATTTGTCTGCATCTCTTGTATGTGTGCATGTTGGGTTTGGGTGTGCTTCTCTGTCTGGGCTCATTTGTCTGAGAGCACTTGCTGTATTCCTGGGATGGGGGCGTGTGTAGATTCTAGGAGCCTGTGCATGGCCATGTCTGTCGTGTGTGTGTGTGTGTGTGTGTGTGTGTGTGTGTGCGTGTGTGTGTGTGTGTGTGTGTGTGTTTGTGTGTGTGCGCGTGTGTGCGTGCACCACTAGCTGTGTTTGTGGGGATCCCCAGGTCACCCACTGTATGAGGCCCTAACCCAGCACCCCTCTTGCAGGACAGCAACCATCTGGAGGAGCCTGAGCCCCTTTTGGGGGGAGGAATACACTGTGCACCTGCCATTGGACTTCCACCACCTGGCCTTCTACGTGCTGGATGAGGACACTGTTGGGTGTGTGGTGGATGGGTGGGGAGTGCATGGGGATCCCAAGCCAATCCACACACCAAGAGGAAGTGTGCTGCATCCAACCCCTGACACTGGCTCCACAGGAGGGTGCTGGTCCTGGTCTGACCCTCTCCTACCACTTTCCCACAGACATGATGACATCATTGGGAAGATCTCCCTGAGCAAGGAGGCCATCACAGCTGACCCTCGAGGTGAGCAGGGCCTGGCTGGCGGGAGAAGAAAAATGGTATGACCCACGGGGGGCCTTGCAAGGACTGAGGGAGTAGCCTCAGAGCCTGAAGGGGGAAGATCTCTCTCTCTCTCTCTCTCTCTCTCTCTCTCTCTCTCTCTCTCTCTCTCTCTCTCTCTCCTCTTCTTCTCTTCTCCCCTCCTCTCCCCCTCACTTTCCCTCTTTCTGTTTCTCTCTCTGGTTTTTTTTTTTTTAAGACAGGGTTTCTCTGGAGACCAGGCTGGCCTCGAACTCACAGAGATCTGCCTGCCTCTGCCTCCCAAGTGCTGAGATTAAAGGTGTTCGCCACCAGTGCCCGGCTTCTCTCTCTGTTTTTTTGAGGCAAGGTTTCTCTGTGTAACAGCTCTGGCTATCTTGGAACTCACTTTGTAGACCAGGCTGGCCTTGAACTCACAGAAATCCACCTGCCTCTGCCTCCCAAGTGCTGAGATTAAAGGTGTACCACCACTGGCCAGAGAATGTGTCTTTTTGTATCCTGTCTCTTTAATTTGTAATTCAGTTCGTTTATTGAGCATCTAGCTCATTTTCAAACAGCAGAAGTGTGACACCCTTCCCACCTGGGCCTGTGTTCCCCATCGAGCTGCTAAGTCAGCAGCTTTAGTTTTGTCTTTTTGAGTCAGGCTGTCTCTATCTATCCCTAGATCCCTAGATAGTCTCCAAGTTGTGCTTCCCTTGTGCCTCAGTTTCCCTCATGCTGGTATTCAAATGCGCAGTATCATGCCTGCTATGGCCAGCCTCCTTATTTTTTCCAAACATTTTATATTTGCATGCTGATGGTGAAGCCAGGGCCTCTCAATCTCTGTGCCTCTAAACTCTTTTTTTTTTTTTTAAACACACACACAAGAAAATAAGAACCCACCACACTCACACACTGGGAATGTATGCTGAGCCCTCCTCTGAGGTGGGGACCTTTTTTCCCCTCATATTTTTCCTGTGACATTGCTGAGGTCTAGAGGGCTCAGTGATTTGCTCATGGTACCAGGACTTGGAACTAAGGTTGTTTGGGTCCAAGGTTTTGAGATCACCATGTTGCATTCGTGTGTGTGTGTGTGTGTGTGTGTGTGTGTATGCTTGTGAACGTGGGTTTTCTTAGCCCACATGGGAGCCAGTTATACTTGGTTTTCCCTAGTTGCCTTTCTTTTTTTTACCTCATCGTGTATTTTTAAATTTGTATTTGTATTTTATTTTGGTTTTGTTTTGTTTTTTCGAGACAGGGTTTCTCTGTGGCTTTGGAGGCTGTCCTGGAACTAGCTCTTATAGAGCAGGCTGGTCTCGAACTCACAGAGATACGCTTGCCTCTGCCTCCCGAGTGTTGGGATTAAAGGCGTCTGCCACCACTGCCTGGCTTATTTTTATTTTATATGCGTGAGCATTCTGCATGCTTGACTCTAAGTGCACCGCATGTATGCAGTGCCTGCAGAGGTCAGAAGAGGGCGCTGGATCCCCTGGAACTGGAGTTACAGATGGCTGTGAGTCACCATGTGGGTGCTGAGAACCTAACCTGGAGCTTCTGGAAGAGCAGATGGTGCGGACTGTCTCTCCAGCCCCCTTCAACCATGTACCTGAGACAAGGTACCCCAGGCTGGCATAATATATGACAGTACTGTCTCAGCCTCTCAGTATTGGGATGACAGGCATGCGCCACTGTGCCTAGCAGCCACAGTGTGCCTTTTAGGTCTTTGCTTCACAGTGCTTTAAGGAGTTCTGAGTTCTGCAATCACTGCATTCTGCTGTAGTGTCCCATCATGTACTAGGCTTGCTCCCTGGTGAAGCATTAGGGGTGTTGGCCATGTGTTCCCAGCTCAAGCAGTTGCAACGGGCAGCCCTGTACTTACTAATGGTGTCATATATTCAAGTCCCCTCCAGCCAGAGAAATTCCTGAAAGTTTATGCATTGAATCAAACCATACATTCTTTTTGTTTTGTTTTGTTTTGTTTTTTTTGTTTTTCCAGACAGGTTTTCTCTGTGTAGCTTTGGAGCCTATCCTGGCACTCGCTCTGGAGACCAGGCTGGCCTCAAACTCACAGAGATCTGCCTGCCTCTGCCTCCCGAATGCTGGGATTAAAGGCCTGTGCCACCAACGCCCGGCCAAACCATACATTCTTATATGTATTATTTTTATTACATCACAGACTCCATAGGTTTCCAGAGCCAAAGGAAATAAGGACACCTCAGGAAGGGCAGCACCTGTGGGTGCTGGGCAGGGGAACATTGTCCTCATCTTGGTGGGACAGAGGGATTACACATGCATATCTTACCTCTGAGAATGGCTGAAAGAAGAGTGGATGATGATAAGAGTGGCTTTCCAAGCTGGATTTGGTGGCACATGCCTGTCGCCATGGTATTCTGGAGGCTAGCCTGGGCTGTGCCGTAGTGAGACCTCATTCATGTGTCATCATCATCATCATTATCAGTGTTGGGATTGGTTAATGGCTCCGTCACTGAGTTATGCTTCCAGCCCCAACTGTATGTTTACTAGTTATTGTATTAGAGCTACAGGGGTTGGAGAGATGGATGGCTCAGCAGTTAAGAGTGAACGCTGCTCTTCCAGAGGTCAGAGTTCAGTTCCCAGCACCCACATGTGGCTCAGAAGGGTCTATAACTCCAGTGTCAAAGGATCCGATTTTGGGTTTTCTTCTGGCAGCAGTAGGGAGCCTCCAATGGGTGTTTACTTGCTTGAGCCTTTGAGACAGGGTCTCACTATGTAGCCCTGGCTGTAGGGAGCCACTGATGGGTGTTTACTTGTTTGGTTATTTGTGCATTTGAGACAGGGTCTCCCTGGCTGTGGGGAGTCACTGATGGATGTTTGCTTATTTGTGCATTTGAGACAGGGTCTCACTGTGTAGCTTTGGCAGGAATCAGGGCTTTTCTTTTCCTGTGACTCTGACAGAAATGGCTTAAGGGAGGGGGGGTTATTCCGATTCGCAGTTCAAAAGAGCAGTTCATCGTGGCAGGAAAATTGAGGCAGCAGAAGTTGAGGGAACTGGTCACACCCCATCCACAATCAGAGAGCAGAGAGGAATGACAGCTGGGGCTCCCCTTCATTTCTTCATCTTGTATGGTCCAGGATTCCAGCCTAGGAAATGATTCTGCCCACATTGTGATGGCTCTTCCTGCATCAATTACATAACCAAGAGAATCCCCCATGGGTATCCTCAGGGGTAACCTAGATCCAGCCAATCCTGCCCAGGTATGCCTGGAAGCCTATCTTCCAGGTGGCTCTAGAGGCTGTCAAATTGATAACACTAGCCACAGTTACAGGTGCTTCGAAAGTCAGACATTTAAAGAGATAAAATGGCAGCTGAAGGTTAAAGCACTGAGCCAGGCATGGTGGCCGAGCAGTCAGGAGGTGAAGGTGGGAGACACAGGAGCTCTGGTCTATCCTGGGATACATAACAAGACCCTAAATGGAAACCAAACAAAAGAGAAGTGGGGAAGGAAAGATGTTTGCCAAAGAGGGATTGAGCTACAGTGGGAGTCAGAAGTCAATAAACAATACGTTTAAAGTGTGATGAGAGGTCTCTGTGTGTGTGCATGAGCATGGGCATGTCTGTGTCATTCAACGTTCCAGAGTACCCATGATGACAGCCCGAAGCTGCACTGCCCATGTTCAGACTCCATCTCTGTTGTTTTCTTCTTTTAGAGACAGGGTTTCTCTGTAGCCCTGGCTGTCCTGGAACTCTTGTGTAGATATGGAACACACAGAGATCCTCACGCCTCTACCTCCCTAATCTCTGTGTGTAGAGGGCAGTTTCTTCCTTTGACACGGCTGATTGCAGACCAAATCTGAGGTCCTGCCTGAAAAACCGCCAGTATCATGTACGGTCATCATCAGTGGCAGTTGTGAGCTGACACAATGCCTAGTGAGCTCAGGTGCTTGCTAAACACCATGTCTGCCCTGCAGGGATAGACAGCTGGATCAACCTGAGCCGAGTGGATCCAGATGCCGAGGTGCAGGGTGAAGTCTACCTGGCCGTGCAGCTGCTGGACGATGCCCGGGGACGATGCCTCCGCTGCCATGTGAGGCAGGCCAGGTATGTTAGCCCTGGGGGAGGTGTCCGATGTTCTGAAAATAAGCAAAGATGTGGCCTGATGGGTAGAGTGCTTGTCTAGAATGCATGAGGCCCTGGATTCTAGCCACAGCACCATATAAACTGTGCACACGTCTCTGATCCCAGCACTCAGGAGGTGGAGGCATGAGGATCAGGGATTTAAAGGTCATCCTTGGCAACATAGGGAGTTTTAGACCAGCCTGGGCTATAAGACACTCTGTTTCAACAAACCAACAAAAACACAAAATCAAGTTGGGTGGTAGCAGTGCTAATCTCAGCACTCGGGAGGCAGAGGCGGGCAGATCTCTGTGAATTTGAGGGTCTTTCTGTGTAGACCAGGCTGGCTTCAAACTCACAGAGATCTGCCTGCCTCTGCCTTCCAAGTGCTGGGATTAAATGCTTGGGCCACCACATCTAGCAAAAGCAAAATTTTAACTGGGGTCTTCAGGGACAAATAACAATCAGCTAGATACAAGAGGTGGGCAGACAGATGTGTGTGTGTGTGTGTGTTTGTGTGTGTGTGTGTGTGTGTGTGTGT